AGGAATCGGAGGGCCGAGATCGATATTCCAGTCGAATCCATTACATTCACTAACGTGCCAATACTCTTGGGAAAGGTATGAATCCTTTTCTTCTCTCCCCCCATTAGCTATTGACTTGATATAATCACTCCAATTCAAATTCCTAGAAAGCTTTAAGCTTCATAATACGAAATTTAACGTTTAATTTCTTATGTAGATGAATGGAAAGGTTTTTTTTAAATAATTTCAAGCAAGGCAATAAAGCCACTAAGATGCAAGGGGTTACTGTTAGAGAATATGAGAAAGCAAAACATATTAAGGAGAGAGGACAATAAAAGAACAGGAATTAAGATAGAAGATAACAGTTGCCATTGCATAGGTAAATAGCAGGACAGACCGGATTCTATAGTTTTGAATGGTAACTGGTCTACCGCAGAAAGAAATGGTAAACTACTGCGAGAAAAATCTGCCTTGTCAGTCATGTATCGAAAGATACATGATCACCTAAGCGTGTATCACGCATGGCACATAACTGACTGATTGATTGACTAGATTGGCGAATGTGTGAAATCTATAGAAATTAATTGTGAATGAGACTAAAATCTGAGGTACAAGTTATTATATTCGATTAATGCTTTTTCGATTACTGCGTATCGTAATGTACAGGGTGGTCCGAAAGTCTTGTCCGCCTTACATAATATAATTTTTTATTTATTTCAGATGGCTGACATGAGCTCCTACAGTTTGGAAGAAAAGTAGGGGTAACAAGACTTTTGGACCACACTGTATACATTAGCCGCACTAATCGAGGGATCCCTGTATAGACAAGAATGAAAAAAAAGTATAAATTTAATTTCACAAACTTGTGTGTTTGTGAAAATAGAAATAAAAGCGACTTGTACATATTTAAGTGGGCAACAAGTTGTAATATCAGCTAAAGTTTTACCAAACAAGCTAAAATTTCTATGGCGTTGCTTCCATGAGTCAGTTAAATGCCACACATGATACACGCTTGGGTGATCATGTATCTTTCGACACATGCCTGACGAGGCAGATTTTTCCCGCAGTAGATTGCAATTTCGTTCTGCAGTAAACTGGTTGCCAACTAAGGCTAAAGAACCCACTCTGTACTGCTATTTAACCCATAGCTGGATGAGAAGAGATAGATTCCTACCTTTGCCAAGGGTATTTGTACGTAAGTGAATCTAACGAATTTGACTGGGATTTGAACTCGGCTCCCCGAGTTCTCATCCCGAGCCGTTGTTTCCATACGGCTTAATAAAGGTATAAGTCCAGCCTATGCCAGTGACATTTATTTTACGTTTTGTTGCTTTCTTTGGGTCCTAATTACAAAATTCATTTTCAGTCTGTGTGTGGGGGTTTGTTTAGAGATCCACGAAATTAATAGGAGGTGTGGTTTGAGACCCTATGCTGCGAAATGCCAAAAAAACTCTTCAGAAATCCAACATCAGAAATTCGAAAGTGATTGAACAGAGAAATGAAATATATTTGCTGGCGTACTAGTTATTTCTGACAAGTTAATCATTCTTTTCCCCTAAATTCGTTTCGTGATGAATAGAGCTCGCAGCAGAATCAGGCCAGAGATAGGACGAGAACAGTACGGGTTCGGTAAAGACACCGGAACAATGAACGCGATAGTCATGCTCAGAATGTTATCAGAAACAGCGATACAAATGCAGGACGTGTATCTATGTTTCATAGACTATGCAAAGGCCTTCGACAAAGTACGTTACAAGGATCTGCTGGAACTGCTCAGCAACTTTGATATATTCGGGAAAGATATCAGAATAATCGAGAACCTATACTAGCAGCAAACAACATGCATGCGTATAGGAACGAGTTCAGTGTATATACAAAAATAGAAAGGAGCGTAAGGCAAGGATGCGTCTTCTCACCGGACCTGTTCAACCTATACAGCAAAGCAATTTTGAGAGAATTGGAAACTCTACCGGGATTTATCATTAGCGGCCAAAATCTTGACAACATAAGATACGCTGATGACACAGTACTGATAACAGACACGGAAAAGAAATTAAAAAAAATATCCTACAGAAGGTGGCGAAGGATAGTGAGAAAAAAGGACTAAGCATAAAGTACAAGAAGAAGGAATGCATGGTCATCAGTTAAAGGATGAGACCGAAATGCCATTTGAAGGTTGGTAACACTAGAATCAAGCAGACGGGGAAGTTTAAATATCTGGGAAATGTTCTGACAGGACGGTAAATGCGACACTGAGATCCGAAGACGTATTGGGATGGCCAAGGACGCATTCCAAAAGCTGAGCAGAGTATTACGAGACAGGAGGATTTCTTTGGTAACGAAGAAAAGAATACTGAACTGTTACGTGATATCTGTCCTTCTTTACGCCAGCAAATGATGGACGGTCCCCTCCAAGATGAAGAAGAGACTCGAGGCAACTAAGATCCGAAGACGTATTGGGATGCCCAAGGACACATTCCAAAAGCTGGGCAGAGTATTACGAGACAGGAGGATTTCTTTGGTAACGAAGAAAAGAATACTGAACTGTTACGTGATATCTGTCCTTCTTTACGCCAGCAAATGATGGACGGTCCACTCCAAGATGAAGAAGAGACACGAGGCAACTAAGATCCGAAGACGTATTGGGTTGGCCAAGGACACATTCCAAAAGCTGAGCAGAGTATTACGAGACAGGAGGATTTCTTTGGTAACGAAGAAAAGAATACTGAACTGTTACGTGATATCTGTCCTTCTTTACGCCAGCAAATGATGGACGGTCCACTCCAAGATGAAGAAGAGACTCGAGGCAACTAAGATCCGAAGACGTATTGGGATGCCCAAGGACACATTCCAAAAGCTGAGCAGAGTATTACGAGACAGGAGGATTTCTTTGGTAACGAAGAAAAGAATACTGAACTGTTACGTGATATCTGTCCTTCTTTACGCCAGCAAATGATGGACGGTCCACTCCAAGATGAAGAAAGACTCTGAGGCAACTAAGATCGAAGATGTATTGGGATGGGCAAGGACGCATTCCAAAAGCTAAGATACGAGACAGGAGGATTTCTTTGGTAACGAAGAAAAGAATACTGAATTGTTACGTGGTCCTTCTTTTTTTACGCCAGCAAATGATGGACGGTCCATTCAAAGGCAACTAAGATCCGAAGACGTATTGGCCAAGGACACATTCCAAAAGAGAGCAGGACGAGACAGGAGGATTTCTTTGGTAACGAAGAAAAGAATACTGAACTGTTACGTGATATCTGTCCTTCTTTACGCCAGCAAATGATGGACGGTCCACCCAAGATGAAGAAGAGACTCGAGGCAACTAAGATCCGAAGACGTATTGGGATGCCCAAGGACACATTCCAAAAGCTGAGCAGAGTATTACGAGACAGGAGGATTTCTTTGGTAACGAAGAAAGAATACTGAACTGTTACGTGATATCTGTCCTTCTTTACGCCAGCAAATGATGGACGGTCCACTCCAAGATGAAGAAGAGACTCGAGGCAACTAAGATCCGAAGACGTATTGGGATGGCCAAGGACGCATTCCAAAAGCTGAGCAGAGTATTACGAGACAGGAGGATTTCTTTGGTAACGAAGAAAAGAATACTGAACTGTTACGTGATATCTGTCCTTCTTTACGCCAGCAAATGATGGACGGTCCACTCCAAGATGAAGAAGAGACTCGAGGCAACTAAGATCCGAAGACGTATTGGGATGCCCAAGGACACATTCCAAAAGCTGAGCAGAGTATTACGAGACAGGAGGATTTCTTTGGTAACGAAGAAAAGAATACTGAACTGTTACGTGATATCTGTCCTTCTTTACGCCAGCAAATATTGGACGGTCCACTCCAAGATGAAGAAGAGACTCGAGGCAACTAAGATCCGAAGATGTATTGGGATGGCCAAGGACGCATTCCAAAAGCTGAGCAGAGTATTACGAGACAGGAGGATTTCTTTGGTAACGAAGAAAAGAATACTGAACTGTTACGTGATATCTGTCCTTCTTTACGCCAGCAAATGATGGACGGTCCACTCCAAGATGAAGAAGAGACTCGAGGCAACTAAGATCCGAAGACGTATTGGGATGGCCAAGGACGCATTCAAAAGCTGAGCAGAGTATTACGAGACAGGAGGATTTCTTTGGTAACGAAGAAAAGAATACTGAACTGTTACGTGATATCTGTCCTTCTTTACGCCAGTAAATGATGGACGGTCCACTCCAAGATGAAGAAGAGACTCGAGGCAACTAAGATCCGAAGACGTATTGGGATGGCCAAGGACGCATTCAAAAGCTGAGCAGAGTATTACGAGACAGGAGGATTTCTTTGGTAACGAAGAAAGAATACTGAACTGTTACGTGATATCTGTCCCTCTTTACGCCAGCAAATGATGGACGGTCCACTCCAAAATGAAGAAGAGACTCGAGGCAACTAAGATCCGAAGACGTATTGGGATGGCCAAGGACGCATTCCAAAAGCTGAGCAGAGTATTACGAGACAGGAGGATTTCTTTGGTAACGAAGAAAAGAATACTGAACTATTTCGTGACACCCGTCCTTCTTTACGGCAGAGAATGTTGGACGATTTCCTCAAAGATGAAGAAGAGACTAGGCAACAGAGATGTGGTTCTACGGAAGGATGCTAAGGGTATCATGGACTGAGCATGTAAGCGCTGATGAGATTTACAAACAAGGAAGAGGCTTATACTTAATATCAGGAAGAGGCAGCTGAATTTTCTGGGATACATAATGAGGAAGGAGGGCCTGGAGAATCTGATACTCACGGGTCGAATAGAGGGAAAATAATGGATGACATACCTGGCGGACTTCAGCAAATGGATGACAGCACATTGTCTGGGGGAGGTGGCAGAGGGAAGGAGCTTGTAGAGGGCTGCAAGTGATAGTGGGAGGTGGAGGTCTATGATCGCCTACGTTTTGAAAGTACACAGCTCATAGAATGAAAGAAAGAAAACAAGACAATTAAAAAATAGAAAGAAAAACAATACAACTGACCTTTGACCGAAAGGTATAACGTACTCGAACTTGACCCCTCACTGTTTTCTATTCGACACCGGTAGGGTGCCTCGTCACTCCGGACAACGTCTCTGATGACCAGGGCAAACGTGCCCTGTTCGAAAGATTCTAGCGAAATCCGATCGTTCAGCTCGAGTGGTACTTCGTCCTTGTACCACGTGACTGTTGGCTTAGGGAATCCCTTGAAGATGCATTCGAACTTGGCCGTCCCGCCTTCGACTACTGTGTCTTCCCCGGACAATCGCTGAATGAATTCTGGAGCTGAAATTACAAATATTTTGAAAATTAGCGTCTAAAAAAATATATAGAGAGAGCAAGTTTATAAGTTCATTTTTAAGTCATAAAAATATTTCCGTTTTCCCGTTGCTACAATAAAAAGTGAACATTTAGCAAGAGTCATTATCTGTTCAATGAACAACAACCAAACCATTCTGTAAAGAAAATATCTGGAATTTAATGAAAAGAAAAATAGAAGTCAATGTCTTTGAATTAAAAGAAGAAATTATAGACATTTGGAATAACATCGCTAAAAATTTAATTGCTAAGTTAATTATATGAACAACAGAAGAATACCATACGGCAAACAACTCGAAATATGTTTTTCATAGAAAATTAGATTAATAAAGATTAATTCATAGCGTTTTTGCTTTTTCTTCTAAGAGCGATTTTCCAAGCGTAGCTTAGATGCAGCACAAGGCCGAAAGTATGAGGCAGCCAGTGAGGATCGAACTCACTATTTAGTTGTAATTGTTCTAGCGAAACAAGCTTGCTAACCATTACAACGCTTCGAGGTGCCCTAAAATGATTATCTAAGCGCAGCTTAAATGTTCTGTCATCCATTTGCTGAAGTCCGCCAGGTATGTCATGTGTTGTTTTCCCTTGTCTCTCTTTTCCTTTACTCGACCCGTGAGTATCAGATTCTCCAGGCCCTCCTTCCTCATTATGTATCCCAGAAACTTCAGCTGCCTCTTCCTGATGTTAAGTATAAGCCTTCTCCTTGTTTGTAACCTAAGACCTCATCGTTGCTCACATGCTCGGTCCAGGATATCCTTAGCATCTTTCTGTAGAACCACGTCTTCGTTGCCTCGAGTCTCTTCTTTATCTTTAAGGAAATCGGCCAATATTCTCTGCCGTAAAGAAGGACAGATGTCACGAAACAGCTCAGTATTCTTTCCTTCGTTACCAAAGAAATCCTCCTGTCTTCGTTACCAAAGAAATCCTCCTGACCAGCTTTTGAAATGCGTCCTTGGCCATCCCAATACGTCTCCGGATCTCAGTGTCGCACTTACCGTCCTCTGTCAAGACGCCTCCCAGATATTTAAACTTCCCCGTCTGCTTGATTCTAGTGTCCCCAACCTGCAAATCGCATTTTGGGCACATCCTTTAACTGATGACCATGCATTCTGTCTTCTTGTACTTTATGCTTAGGTTGAACAGGTCGAGTGAGATGATGCAGCCTTGCCTTACGCCTCTTTCTATTTTTGTATATTTACTGAACTCGTTCTCTATACGTATGCATGCTGTTTGCTACCAAAAGTATACGCACCCAGTGAGGATCGAACTCACTACTCAGTCGTAATTGTTCTAGCGAAACAAACTTGCTAACAATTACACTCTCTTGAGATGCGCTAAAATGATTTTCTAAGAGCAGGTTAGATGTGGTACAAAGCCGAAAATATGGAGAACCCAATGAAGATCGAACTCACTATTTAGTCGTAACTGCTTTAGCCAGAACAAGCCTGCTAACCATTACACTGCCTTGAGGTGCCCTAAAATCAGTTTCTAAGCGCAGATTAGATGTGACACACGGACGAAAGTATGGAGCACCCAGTGAGTATCGAACCCACTATTCAGTCGTAACTGTTTTGGCGAGACAACCTTTATTACACCACGCCCTTACTTAATCCACTTATATGTACTTAATATTTTGCAAATCAGCGTCTAAAAAAACATAAAACAAGTTTATCAGATCATTTTTCAGTCATCAAAATATTTCCGTTTTCCGGTTGCTACAATAAAACGTGAACATTTATCAAGGGTCATTTTCTGTTCAATAAATAGTAACTAAACCAGAATCCTGTAAAGAAATTTGGACATTTATCAAGGAATAAACTTGAACCGTCTCAGCTTGAGTGTTACAACGTGAGTAAGAATAGGAAGTCAAAAACTTTCCAAGAAAGGTCAGTTGGATTGTATAAGTGAGGATAATGATAGCAATGCCAAAGGTCAAAACACTTCAGACAAAGAAAATTTGGTCGATAGTCAGGAAAAATTATGGATTTGTCTTGATGATTGGTTGATTATTTTTGTTAATCGGCATATCAGCCTCTATAGCATCTGTCTATACGTCTGAGATGAGATATTGTAATTATTTACACTATTTACATTGTTTGGACTGCTGTCATCATCTTTATTACCATTTTCACGACGTTTCGGCCGTTGTCCGCGACGGCCTTCTTCAGGATCTGTCTATATCTCTGTGTCTACCTGCGACGCCTAACGACACAAGCGGAAGGAAAAACTAAACTACCTACAGTTTTGAGAAGAAATCTTACACTTCGGTAGAGTGCTGAAATGTTCTCGGCGCATTATCTTTATTACCATATTCACGACGTTTCGGCCATTGTCCGCTCCGGCCGTCTTCAGGATCTGTCTATATTTCTGAGATGAGGATTTGGAATGATTTACACTATTTACATTGTTTGGACTGTTGCCATCATCTTTATTACCATATTCACAACGTTTCGGCCGTTGTCCGCTCCGGCCGTTGTCCGCTCCGGCCTTCTTCAGGATCTGTCTATATTTCTGAGATGAGGTATTGCAATGATTTACATTATTTACATTGTTTGGACTGCTGCTATCATCTTTATTATCATATTCACGACGTATCGGCCGTTGTACGCTCCGGCCTTCTTCAAGATCTGTCTATATTTCTGAGATGAGGTATTGTAATTATTTACACTATTTACATTGTTTGGACTGTTGCCATCATCTTTATTACCATGTTCATGACGTTTCGGTCGTTGTACGCTCCGGCCTTCTTCAGGATCTGTCTATATTTCTGAAATGAGGTATTATGTACCCATTTACATTATTCGGACTATTGTCAGGCGATTTTTGTGCTGATTCCTTAAGTTTACGAATTTTCCCTATCATGTTCTTCGTAAACTTAAGGTATCAGTACATATGCGGGGCCACAAAAATCTCTTGAGCCGACCAAGCATTGAAATGAATACAATATGGGAACCAGTAATAAGGAGTGCCATAGAAAAGCAATAATAACAACGAAAATTGCAGTATGAGCTCTGGTAAAAAATATGCAATGATAACAGTAAAAATTGCAATATGAGCACTGGTAAAAATCGTTGCTGAAGACGTCAAATTTATAAGTTCCAGAATTTCAGGACACATGCCACAGTGGATAAAGGCGTTGGTTAGATCCAGTGACAGGACGCAAAGAGTTGTGAGTTCAATACCTGGTCAAGGCAGTGGATAACTTGGAGTTGTGAATTAACAGGCGATAATTAACATCCATTGGACATGGAACTAGAACAGTCTACCCCAGCGAGTGAAATAAAGGGTTCAGTTCGACATTCCAACCACCTGAAGAAGGTCGGAGCGTACATCGGCCGAAACGTTGTAATAAATATGGCAACAAAGATGAGGACAATAGTCCGAATAATTTAAATAGTATAACCATTTTTACATTCTGTGTAATAATTTGTTTCATAAGTTCCTTTAATATGCCAATTAACAGAACATTTAATTAATCCTCTCATTAATTAATTAATCATATCAATTTTAGCGAATGAAATACGCCGCTTTTCGTTTACTAAGTTAGGCTCTATTAAAAAAACACTTAAATTTATTAACTGGGATTAATCTATACTTAAGTTCTTGAGAATTTACGGCCAAAAGATTTCACCAAATATCGAGTCCCAATGATATCAAGTTACATTGAGGGAATGTCTTTGGTTTCTTTCAGGCAGTACTTTTCCCGGATTTCTTGCCGATACATACAGTCCTCCACTCGCCTTGCCGCTGACAGACGACCGTGTCTCCTCGCGACGCCTAACAAAACAAGCGGAAGGATAAACTAAACTACCTACAGTCCTGAAAAGAAATATTACACTTCGGTAGAGTGCTGACATGTACTCGGACCATCCCAGAGGCGTTTCCCCAAAGAGTTAGTTTATTCAGGTTTTGGAAAATCGTAGAGACATATAAATTTCTAGTATTTTTATAGACCGTGTCCCTTCAGGACGTAGGCGATCATGGCTCCCAACCCCCCCATCCCTCTCAAAAAGTTTTCTCCCCTTGCTACTTCCACCAGCCCATGTTCCGTCATTCACTTTCTCAAGCCCGCCAGGTATGTCACACGTTGCTTTTCCTTGTCCCTCTTGCTCTCTATTCGACCTGTGAGTATCAGACTCTCTAAGCCCTCTTTTCTCATTACGTGTCCCAGAAACTTCAGCTTCCTCTTCCTGGTGTTAAGTATAAGCCTCTTCTTTGTTTGCATCCTCTCCAAAACCTCATCGTTACTCACACGCTCTGTGCATGATATCCTTAGCATCCTTCTGTAGAACTTTTCCTCCGTTGTCTCTAGTCTCTTCCTCATATTTGAGGAGACATTCCAACATTCGCTTCCGTAATGGAGGATAGATACATTTCCGCATTGCCCGTAATACACAGATCGTTAACTCCTCACAAAAGACGTCATCTCTAAGTTGAATTGAAAATAATAACACTAATATCTTCATTTTTTAAACAAAAGATTCGGCAGAACTGATTGGAGAGAGAAGAGTTGGATTCATGCCTTTCCCAATAGTATTAGCACCTAAGTGAATATACCGAACCCAACGTGATTTGGAACTCGGCTCTCCGATTAAGAATTCCGAGCCATTACCAATCAAACTACCCGCACATCCAAATTTACAGCACCTGGTATTCTAAAACGGTCGCCTATCTAGGCACAGACCAGGTTCGACGTTGCTTAACTTTGGTTCTCGTACGAACACCAATGTTTCAATGTGATATGGCCATAAGACATACTAAACGCATATCCAAACGTACAGCACATGGTATTCTTAAGAGGTCAACGACCTAGGTACTGACTAGGTTCGACGTTGCTTAACTTCGGTGATCGTACGGGAACCGGTATTTTAATGTAATATCACGATAAGACATACTAACCGCATATCCAAACGTACAGCACATGGTATTCCCAAGTGGTCACCCATCAAGGTACTGACCAGGTTCGACGTTGCTTAACTTCAGTTCTCGTACGATCACTGATGTGTCAATGTCATATGACCATGATATACCAACCACATATCCAAGCGTACAGTACATGGTATTCCAAAGCGGTTACCCATCTAGATACTGACCAGGTTTGACGTTGCTTAACTTTGGTGATCGTACGGGAACCGGTGTTTCAACATGTCAACATAACTCATTCTCAGTATTCCATTCATTAAACTAATTTCCTTGTTTTTGTTGTTTCGATTAGTGCGTTTCGACCGGTGCATTCTCCGCCCTTCCTAGTGTTGCCTGAAGTACTGAGATAAATCATTTTCTGTATTTCATTCATTAAACTAATTTCCTCATCTTTGTTGTTTCGATTATTGCGTTTCGACCAGTACATTCTCCAACTGTTTTTACTTTCAAGTTCTTACTTGAAACGCGTTCATTATTGCATAATCGAATTGACATCTTCATCTTTGTTGTTTCAATCATTACCTTTCGGCCAACCTACTCTTCGGCCTTCTTTACGGTGTCTAATGATCCGGGTCGAAATACTGCTAATATTTCATTAGTTAAAGATTAACTCACACGATCATAACACTTCCCCTGGATACAGAGAATACCATGAACTGGGCATGTAAGCAATTAGGAAGTGTATTGTTGTCTGATTATGAAACTCTGTTTCGCTACTTCCGATGTTCCTTCGTTTGCCGGAACCTATTTCAAGCCACTTAAAGGTGACGTCATTTGCAATGGCTGAACTTAATATAAAGATGGAATCAGTTATTATTAACAGGAAAGCGATGTCGGAACGCTGAAATGTTAAACTTTTACGTCTAAATCTCATTCATTTGCCTAACTCCCTGACACAGGCCGACGTCGATCCTGCGACCTGGGAAACCGTTGGTGCAAATCCTGGAATAGGACCATCCGAGTGGCGGGCCGAGACTTTCGAGTCCAACCGTCAACATGAAGAGCATCTGCGATATGCAGTCAAGATGTCCCGACTCACCCAGCCACGTCCATCCCCAACACTCCTCTTTGTCTCCTGCTCAAGACTCTTTAGGAGTTAGGTGGGCCTTCACAGCCATTTCCGCACCCGCCAGCAGACGGGAGAAAGCGAATAAGGTGAGAGAATGACGATCCCGACGCTCGGATACAACCGGCTCCTGACGACGACGATGTGCCTAGCAATCATTTAATATATAGAAATTTATATATCACATGGCAAGAATTCTCAAAGAATACAGTTTCCACAGAAAGCCTTCTGCAATAACCCCTACAACCCTAATCGTGGCAAACAACTCGACCAGATCTCTTCAGTAATATAACACATGCGATAAAAATTCCCTCTAAAAGAATTCCACTTCATATTCATTTCTCGTCTCGTTGAAAAAGGACACAGGCGTGTCCGAAAATTCCGATTTTTAACATCTTTCTTATCATGCTTGCATATGGTCAAAAGACTTACTAATTTACAATAAATATTATTAAACTTTTTTTTATTTCTCGAATCCTGGCCTATTATACCTACATATAATATTTAATGCGCGCTCGACCATAACAATCAAGCATAAAAGAAAAAAAAATCTATAATGGATAACTTTTCACGTTTTAATGAACGCTAAAGCATAACTGTCAACCGTTGCATTTAAACGTAAAAGAAAAAAATCAGTAGTTGATAACTACACATAGTTTTTACATTAACAATTGCACACCTGATGATGATTTCATAAAGACATGGAAAGTACTTAGGTAATAAAAGTGATTCTCACTGTTACATTGCATTTCTTGTCCCATTTAATTGTAATATACAGAAAAATATCCATGAATATTAAAGGATTATGATCAAAATAAGCAAACGTAATATTTGTAACTTATTCAATCAGATATGCCTGAAAGAGAATTTGCTGCCTAAATACACATATTATAAGATGTATACCTGGGCAATATTTATATATATATATATATATATATATATATATATATATATATATATATATATATTGCTCATATTTTGCCAGCATGTTTTCACTAAGACATGTTTCAATGTATAATTTAGACAAGTTTTGTCTGCTTATTTTCATTTGGATCCTTTCATATTCATGGACGAGCTTTATTGTCATTATTAAAGAAAGAGAGAAAATTACCGTGTTGATACATATTATTTTATTCCAAGTACTCTCGACATTAGCACAGTGTCATCATCAGGGTATTGTTTGTTTCAAGTCAAATATTGAAGCGTTCATCATTTTCAAAGACAAAATTGGTGTGTTCATCTGAAAGTTAAAAGTTTTTTACAACTGAAGGGAAAAATGCTGAGGTTATGGGCTGTACGATTTAGCATAGTGTAAAGCGTAGGTTAGGTAATTAAGTAATGATTTTGTCGAGAGTTTTTTTAAGAAATTAAAACCATTAGTATAAACCTCGATATTTTAAACTATCTACTGTAAACAGTTTAAAAAAATTGTGCAGTATTCATAATTAATTTTATTAAGGTTTGGTTTCAATTTTTTAATTATATATAACTTCGAGAATTTTAGGTTTATGTTTATTATTTTCATGAAAAAGTATAGATGTATTTCCAACAAGAATTTTCCTGAATTGCGAATGTGGACAGACATACTGTTGGAAATGTTGCGATATGTTTGATGGATCATTCAAATGAAAACTCAACTGTCGAGACAACGTGATAGTAGTTTAACCAAATTATATATTATTTTTTCTGTTGGAGATACAATCTCCCAAAGAACATTTAAATTTATATACAATGTTAGGTTTTTTTGCAGTACGTTAGCTGGTGGAGTTATTATGAATGATTATATTGCATATATTGTATTTAGTATAATATATAAATAATTTTAGTTTTTTTTACTAGTATATGTGGTGGATATATTAGTATTTATTAGTTTTTTTAGGGAATTTTCGTCTTGTTTATAAATAAAAGATTAATATGTCTGGGGTTAATTGAAGAACTATTATATCCTATTTGCTTTATATTAACATTTCTAATAAATCTTATTTGTTCATCAGCGATGTAATTAGTTTGTTTTATATATATATATTTATGCCACTGTAGAACATCTTTTTAGTGGATGAATTCATTTTTCTTTTATAATTGCTATTTTATAGTAATTAGGGCATTCACCCTTATAGTTAAGAGTGCTAGTAACGTGGGGTGATAGCGAATTTATTATCATTAACATTTATCAATATATCTAGAAAAGGAATTTTATTTCTATTATTAAGCTCGTATGTCAATTTCGTGACGGAATTATTTTGAAATTGTTTTTGGAATTGATATATTTCATACATATTCTTGACTAATATATGGCTATCATCAACATATACTAGGTAGATATAGTTTTTTTTTTAAATTGTTAAATATATCATTTTGAAGACTAGATACATAGAAATTGCTAAAAGGTTGGGCCTAGAACTGAACCCATAGAAAACAAGCTCTCAAAAATACACAACAAAATATATATATATATATATATATATATATATATATATATATATATATATATATATATATATATATATATATATATATATATATATATATATATATATATATATATATATATATATATGTTTATATATAATATAGACAAGTTTTTCTATTTATTTTAAGTAAGTTCCTTTCATTTTCAAATAATATCAAACATGGGTTATATTGAAAAGTAATTGTCATTTTGATAATCAATTTATTTAACGAAAGTTTAGATCGGATTTCAAACATGTATCAATACGGTGATTTTTCTTCGTTTTTCAAATGATAATGTTATTGCTTATCAGACAATATGAAAAGAACTTATTTTAAAATAGACAAAACTTGTCTATATTATTTAATGAAACATGCATCAATGAAAAATTGTTGCATAAAATATATAAATATATATATATATATATATATATATATATATGTAATGTGTATATATGTGTGTGTGTGTGTATATAGGCGTGTATATGTGTGTATATATATGTGCATATGTGTGTGTATATATATATGTGTATATATATGTATTCGTATATATATGTATATGTATATATAATTATTTATTTAAAAATATGATTCCAACGCTACATAAGAGTACTCATGTTTCAAAACAAAAGCTGAAAACTTCAATATAATTATTTGAATTAAATTGAATTAAAGTACTAAGCTCTATACCATCTTCAAGCGAATTTTTTTTTGGAATAAATTATTCCTGAAATTTACGCGTTTTATAAGCATATTCATCATTGAAATTAAAATTCCTATGGTAACGGCTAGAGCAATTGTTCAAAGAAAAAGGGCGTAAGGGTTAATAATTTGTATCAATATCTCAGTTACATTCATATATATATATATATATATATATGTATATATATATATGTGTATATATATCCATATGTGTATATATAAGTATATATATTTATGTGTGTCTGTGCGTGTATATATATATATGTATGTGTGTAAGGGGGAGAGAGAGAGAGAGAGTTAGTGAGTGAGGGTGGATCAAAATGTCCGTAGCCTGACACGTTATTTTTTATGGATATTTTAAATCCATAATATTCGATCTCTATGATTGATGGACATGTTAAATGCATCGACAGGAACGGAGATCCTCTGAAAAGAAATGCCTTGTAAAATAAAGGTTTTCATCATCACGATTCCGACGTCGAATGCTGAGTTATATATCTACGTTCGTACACCAATGAAAAAGGTTTCAGATTTCAAGACTTGTCTGGGAGTTGGGACTCCTGTCCCAGATAAACCCGTTCCGACTTTTGACCGCTAATCTTTAGAGAGATGCTATCATAGAAGTTTCTTATTTCACGTCTGAATTGAGTATGCTATCCTTCCCCGATTATCTCGAGTTACACAGCTGCGGAGAATTGCCCCTTTTGAGAAATCACTCTATCCCGAATTCTTTT